GTATATATATGAACAAAAAGAAATGAAATATGTGCATTCTAACTTCCTGCTACGACGACCCTTTGTTCGGGTTGTGAGTCACCAGTACCACATAAAGAAGTTATTTGTCTAATCATATTGTGATCTAAAGAACTACTTCGCCTCATTCTACCCAACCTTTTTTGATGATTGTTATTTGCTTTCTTGCCATTAGTGTAATGAGAATTTGTAGAAGTTGAATTAATTATTGCATCGGATGAAACAGGAGTTATAATTAATGATGGTGGAGAAGAATCTTCAATGTCAAAAGTAGAACTTGGATCAGAAGATTTTGATCTTGTCGGTTTTCTAGGGTCGTTATCTTCATAATCATCATCATCGTCATCAGGTGCAAGTGAACCAGGATGTGCAGGTAATAATGCATGATGACTATATGAACGGCCGGATAAACTACGTTTTAATTTTTTGTGATTTTTAGTATGACGTTGTGAAGCCATTAAGCGTAATTTTTCCTGGATATCATCCGGAATAATTAATAAACCAGCAGCCAAACTGACTCGGCGTTGACCTTTAGAATAGTTATCATCTAATGAAGAAGAAGTATCATCATCATCAGAACTTGGGGTTAATAGGGTTGGAGGAGGTTGCGGTGGAGCATTCTTCATATCATCCCAATAAATACGATTTTCAGCCAAAATGTCCAGAAATATAGTTGCTTGATGTAAGAAAGAAGCAAAAGCTTCAAAGAAAGGTTTAACTACAAAGTCACCGAAACCAAGACTTATTTGACATTGATGAGCTTTTTTTCTGTCCATATTAGGAGATACCGGAAGATTATTTTGTTTTTCAAGATCACCTTGATGAAAGAACTCTTCAACGACTAAATCAGACCAACGTTTAGATATATCCCATGGACGAACAGTATTGCTAAGGTCGGCAGCGTGAAGTAAAATTTTTAATAAAAGTTCACGTTGTTCAGAGTCGAGAGTGGTGATAACAGACGGACGTCTCCGCGAACGAATTTGAAGATGACCGCTATCACTTGTATATCTTTTTGTAGATTTTATAAAAGCAGAAGTAGAATTTTCGGGAGAAGAAGAAATTGAAGAAGCAGAAGATATAAAACCATTATCCATCTCTTCACCGGATTCTTCAGAAGAGCATGGAGAAGTAGATTTTATCATATTATGCAAAGATTCTAATAAATCAAAATGAAAACTCATGTCTGTGGCCAAGATTATTTTAGTTATTAAATCCCTGAGAGTGGTATCGACATCTTTTGGATCACAACCCAAATATTCGTTACTGCAAGTATGTATATTACGAAAAATTCTATGGTTTGTTATAATGTCCATTGTAAGAGTACAAGAATGATTTTCCAACACTGATTGGTCATTGTATTTAACAGCGAGGTTCGTTCGTGCATTAACTTGGTATACATTATTTAAACCGGGCTAATTATAATAATAATAAATAAATAAATATAATAAAGAATTAATTAATAAATAAATACACACGTAAATACACATGTAAATACATATTATGTATAACAAATACTTACATGACCTATATCATGACATAAACCAGCTATAAGTAAGCAAATAGCATCTAATGAAGTTAGATACGTTCCAGCACCCAAATCCTTAAGCATGTAATAAAGGACAGCCACTACGTCAACAGCATGATAAAAAGAATGATAGGAAGTTTTGTAATAGCCTTTTTCAACATCGATAATAAAGTCCAACATTTCAGATTTTCGAATGCCGAGAGTTTCTTTAAGGCCAAGTTTTACAAACATTCCTAAAACTATTCCATATAATTCTGGTATCTGCCAATCCCATACTTTAAATTCCATTCCAACTTTTGAATTTAGTTTGCCGTCCACAAACTTAAGCATTGTCTAAAGAAGTGGTTAAAAAAAAAAAGGTTAGTGAGTAAAGTATTTACAATTGAGCCAGTTAAACACAAAATACAATATATAAGTTTAGTTTCTTTAAACATACCCGTTCACAGGCAATAAGGTGCTCAGAAGAAAGTATGTTATGTTTTGGGACGAGCATTTTGTATTAAAGTAAATTCTATAAAGTTATATAATTTTTTTTTTATTATAAAGGTATATATGCGTAACCGTTCGTAGAGTCGTTTCTCCTTTAAAAGGAAGAACAACTAAGTTTCACCAGGAAGATAGTCTCAAAAACCTTTTTATATACAAGCACAAACTATTTAAATAATAAATTCGTGCGAGAAAAGATTTTAAAATTTTTTTTAACAAAAAAAATAAAAAATAATAGGCCATATTTATAAAAAAAAAAAAAAGGGTTCATTTTTTTATACAGGTACAGTAAAATCAGTGAAATCAGTAAAATAAAAATATATAAAGAAGTGGATCATATAAATTATTAGTATATTTATTAGTATATAAATTTTTAAATGTGTACCGTAAATGATGATTAAATGATGGGATATCTGATATCTGATATCTGATATAATACTATAATACTATAATACTATAATACTATAATACTATAATACTATAATACAGTAATACAGTAATACAGTAATAAGTAATACAGTAATACAGTAATACAGTAATATAGAAATTCGAGATAGTCATTACTTAATTTTCTTTTTTTCGTGTAATCACATTTTTCTACATAGAAATGTAAAAAAAAAGCGTGCCACACCACGGTCTCATTTAAAAATTCATGACTAACTTTTTTTAGCATGGTTTTTTTTTTTGGCCAGTAAATTTTAGTTATAGGATCCAACAAGTTTTTTATTTGTGTGATATCTCTGATCACCAGCAACTTTAAAATGAGCCTGGTGCCGGCAATCTTTGACAAAGAAAAACGTACACAGAAGGCCCATACAGAGATTCTCTGAAGAGACTTTATTGGGAACACAAATTGGGAGAACAAGACAGGTTTAGGCATGTTTTGATTACACGGCTCATCCATGAGAACAAAGAAAAAAAAAAACCTAGAGTTTCTGTATGATCCATCCATGCCTTATAATCTTTTCCCCCTTGTGTAAAGTTTTACCGAATTGAAGCATCACCTGAAATTGTCACTCCACTAATTTCATTCAATTCAGTAACTTGAATAACATGAATAAATGACGATCGAAAGTACATACACATACGTAAGTACTTATAAGATATAATATATATATATATACTTATTATATATATCGATTAAATTAAATTTTAAGAGAATTAAAATAAATGAAATCATGAAATAACGATAATTCTAAATTAAACAAAATAGGTAAATTCTATAATTACAGGTATTTTTACATGAAAGAATGAATTTCAAGAGAATAAAGAGAATAAAGAAGTTTTTTTTTATCCGAAAAAATTCGGTCACGTGGTATGATTATATAATGTGATATTATTATATAATGTGATATTACTGTATTACTGTATTATCTTAGGCTGTAGGTCTGTAGGTCTGTAGGTCTGTAGGTCTGTAGGTGATTAGGTGATAATAAGAAAAATAAAAAAAACCTGAAAATGCCGAATGACATCAGAAATGATGGCGTTTTTTCTAGCGTGGGATCAAGAAATTAATGCAAGTCATCTATCATTTTTATCAGCAGTTGTCATAAACCATGAAGCATGTACTCATGACTATTCAATTAACATTTAAACATAAAATCGCGTGGGCTTACCCTGATTATCAATTCATTACAAAAGCGGACCGCACATACCACTCACACTAAGTATTCGCGTGAGGCATATCGATAAGAACAAAGAAAATAAAATGACCCTGAATAAGTAAGAAAAAGCGAGAATAATCATGTAGATAACGACTATTATTAAACTATTTCAAGATATCACACTTTTTATTGACATATATGGTTAACAGTTTATATGATTATATGATTACGTTATAGGTTACATTTTTTATTAATTTTGCATGCGTAAATCCTGTTAATTTATCAATACCATGATCGATAATGAAATAACCTTGAATTTTTTATTTTTTGGTTTCTGAAAAAAAAAATTAAAATTATTAAATTTGTTAAATTTGTTAAAATTGTTAAAATTATTAAATTTATTAAATTTATCTAACCTCCCATTCTTTCATGCCATAATATCATTATAAACAAAGATCTTTTTAAAAAATTTTGAATATGCAAGATTCGTGACGCCACACATCAAAAATTCTCTGGCTGATAAGTTCGTATCACGCAAATATCCTTACACGCAATCTCCAAATTACCATATTTGATTAATGACAAAGTTATGAACAATGTACTTTAAGTATTCCATTCTCTACCACGCATAAAAAAAGGTCCATTAATAAGAGATCGATCGATATGCAATTACGCGTTGGCCGATTCCCATTTCGTGAAATGCCGCCTAGCCCTTTTTTATTCAAGATAAACGTTGTGTATTGAAAATCCTAATTTAATGGTTTTTCTATTTTTGAGGTTGAAATTTTTTTGTTATAATTTGTTATAAATAATAATTATCTATTCCCCTCATCTTTATGGATATGTCCGTTACGTATAATGAATTAAATATAATGACGGCAAAGAACGACGTTGTTCTCTTTGATATTGAATTTTTTTTTTTTTTGTGAACCTTCTCACATGGCTTTTTAATCTTATCACCTTTTACAGGGTCTGTTTTTTTAATTATCTTTGCTCTTCTGACAATTTGTCACACCATTCCTTTGACATTCCCATGGTACAAAAACACTTACAAATGTGTACAAAATCAGCCGCCAATTATGTACAAAGATTTTTTGAATTCTCAAAATCAATCCCTTAAAATAAGTAAGTACAATGCGGTCATCTGTGCATTTTTTTTTATATTTTTTTTTGGTGGTAAAATTTTGAATAAGTACGACACATGGCAAACTTTGATAACACTCGAAAAATCTGCAGCAGTAACGGTATGTTTGCATCTAAGTGCATATACGTAAAGTATTGTCACTGTGATTTTGACATTGTTCTGGAAATATGCATACACCCCTCACATAATCTTGAAAATAATTGTACAAAACTCTACATTAACAAAATATAGTACGTATGTATGAATATTAATTCAAAAAACAAAGCTCCCGATACGATACAACGAATTCCCCCTTACTTGTATGTAACGTTCTTTATATAATTTATAATAATGAAGTTTTACTTTTATATCAGCCTATATTGTATTTGATTGGATTATATAAATTTGAATACCTTATTTAAAAAAAAAACTTTAACGTTAATAGTTTAAATATAAATTTAGCATTTATAAAATTTATTATGTATTTATATCGATAAAAATAGTAATTTGCTAAATTTTAATAAAATCAAACCCTGATAAAATTTAAATTTTAAAATTTTAAAAATAATTTTAGTTGTTATTTAAATATATATACTGTATATATATATAGTATATATATAGTATATATATAGTATATATATAGTATATATATAGTATATATATAGTATATATATAGTATATATATAGTATACATATAGTATACATATAGTATATAGTATCTTTAAACTAAATATTAATTTTTTTAATTTTTTTATAAAATTATTTTTTTTTAATTTTTATAAAATTATTTTTTTTTTAATTTTTTTATAAATTGATTGATAAAAACAAACATTAATTTCAAAAATACCCATTGTCAAACTGATCTATGATAAGTTCTTCAGACCTTAAATGGTTTCCATTTACCTAGTATACTTATTCTTTAATATGTAAACTTGTTTATATTTTGCACTTTTTCAACTTTAATTTATTTTTTTAAAATGCTAAAATATATAAAACTTTGTATAATTATATTTAAAAATAATAATTATTTTTTTTGCAAAATTAGTTATTATATTATAATAAAAAAAGTTAATTGCAGATCTGTCTATAAGAAGTAGATTTACTATAGTGCAAAATTTATAATAAAAAAAATAAAAGTATATATTTATAATAAGTAATAGTTGTCTATTTATAATAGATTATTTAATTTGAGACTTATAATATGTAAATTGAATCTCAATTTTGCAACCTGTATTTATAAATTTTTTATTATTTTACAATTTAAAAATTTTATATAAAAAAAAAAAAGATTTTATAATAATTTTTTATGTTTAACTATATTCTAATCAAATTTTTGATGCTTACTACTAGTAATTTTATTATTATTTTCAGATGTCAAAATATAAATATCATTATTACCTTCTGTTAATGCTCTTTCTAATGCTTCATTTTAAAGTTTGCACTATACTTTCCCGATCTATCCTTTTATAGTTTTTACTATTAATATTTCTTTATAGATAAGCCAAGTCTTTTAGAGCAACATACATATCTTCAGAAGAGTAACAATCTGTTGTTTTTAAGTTTTTTGTCAAAAAAAAACCTTGCAAGTATTGTAATACTGTACGTTCTTAGTTATATGTTTTCTTGCACTTTTATTGCCAAGCTTTATATTCTTCTTTAAAGCCCATCTTATATTGAAAGAAAACTTCTAATTAATACTATATAAACTAGTGATTTTAATATATAGAAATTATGTTTTTATAATACAACATAATTACCTTAAATCTTTTAAATAATTGTAGACAAACATATAAAAAAAAATAATAAAAATTAAAATTAAATATAGCAGAAGGATTGCATATATATATATATGTAAATATGTATCATTATCTCTTGTGTCATCCAATTTATCACTATTGACTAAATAATTTATACAAACCAATTTTGTAGATATGATAGTTGGTATGTATAAGCTAAATTTACACATTCTATATAATTATCTGATTTGCTAATTTCATTTGTTAGTGGTTCTGTATTTTTTAATAAAATAAGAAAATTTTTTTAACAATTAATAATAATAAATAATAATACTACTTGATTTTTTGAGAGTTAGCATTATCTATATGGTCTTTGGTATAGATGGCTCAAAAAATGTTAGAGATAGTTTTTTATTAAAAGAAGCAATTTACATGGGTTGGAAGTTAGTCTATACTTCTATGTGAAGAAGAAATTAAGTATAGATATATTCTGCAAATTAATCTGTTACAAGCCAGGACTATTCAAACCACTTAGAGATACCAG